CTACAAAATAAACCTTGGCTTGTCTTTCTGACAGCAGATCTCCACTCGGGAAGGTGAACACCCAGCTCTGAAACCTCTCAGCCTCTTGCTGCCCCTTGCTGCTCCGTGGTTGCTGTGAGCAGCTTCTCTTGCTGGCAGGACTGATAAAAAAGGGCTTTTACCCCAGAGATTAGAATCTGTTCCCCAGCCTGTGTCCAACACCAGGCTTTATATTATTTGGTGTACTTAGGATAGGTTGTTTCCTAAGCTCTCCACACAGCTAGAGCCTAGACTGTCACTGCCCTGTGCCTGTAGCTGCTCCCCTTCCCCTGCCCTTCAGGGCTCTGATCTTCCTCTGCCTGTATCTTTGCAGATGCTGCTGCAAAGGCAGTTCCCAGCCCCAGCTGTAAATGTCATCCCCAGTGCCTCTTCCTGCCATACCTCATCTCACCTGTGCAAGGCTTCATGGTTACACCCATCCTGAGTCTGTCCCTGCTGTCTTCTCCTTTCATTGCTGTGGAACCTGTTCTTACCTCTCAGCAGCTCTTGTTGCTATTGGGTATTGGGTGGGTTTTAGAGAATTGGAAGTGACTGTAGCAGCTCTGCTCTGGAGCCAGGCTGGGAGAGTTGGGGTGTTGAGCCTGGAGAAGAGAAGGCTCCAGGGAGACCTGAGAGCAGCTTCCAGTGCCTGAAGGGGCTCCAGGAAAGCTGGGGAGGGGCTTGGGACAAGGGCAGGGAGGGATGGGAGCAGGGGGAAGGGTTTCCAGCTGGCAGAGGGAGCTGGAGCTGAGATGGGAGGGAGAAATTGTGGGCTGTGAGGGTGGGGAGAGCCTGGCCCAGGTTGCCCAGGGAAGCTGTGGCTGCCCCATCCCTGGGGGTGTTGAAGGGCAGGTTGGATGGGGCTTGGAGCAGCCTGGGCTGCTGGGAGGTGTCCCTGCCCATGGCAGGGGCATTGGAACTAGGTGATCTTTAAGGTCCCTTCCCATCCAACCATTCTAGGATTTTTGCAAGCTTTAAAAAATCCAAATGAAAAGTGACTCTGCTCCAAACAACAATTAGAAACTCAGGAAGTCCAAAACTTTCTGTATAGGACATTATTTGGGGCAATTTTAAAACTTGTATTTAGGTGCAAAATTGAATAATAAAGCATTCCAGGCTTGGAGCTTAAGAAGTAAAGGTTTGCACAATTTCAAGCAGCATTGGAAGGGTCCTCTCCTGCCTGCTTGAAAAGAGACAGATGTGTGCCCATCAGGAGTCTCTGCAGAGCAGTTTCCAGCTGAGTGGTGGGGCTGGTTGTTTGCCCACTCCCAAGTGAAAAACTAAGGAAAATACAAGGTCTGTCTCCAAACCTAGAATAAATACAGATTTTGCAGCAGGCTCAGGGCAGTGGGTCCCTGGGGCATCCAGAGTCTGAGTGAGTAGATGGCCCTGTTTGTAGGATGTGTTATTTTGGGTAAAATCAGGCAATTTCTGTATGAAGCAAGGGTGTTAGATCTAGAGACCATGGAGGATCAGTGACTGACTCACTGGCTCTTGTCCCCCTTGCAGCTGGTCTATCCTTATGACTTCAGGCTAACAGAGAAAGAGGTAATGTCTAATTTTTTCCCCCCTTTTTCCTGGTTTTACAGACACTGGGCAGTGGTGATGGAGATTTTCTCACTCTGCCTTTTTTGTTTCTTGCAGAAAACTAGTATCTGCTACTTGTCCTTCCCAGACTCCTACTCAGGTACGTAACACCTGCTGGCCCTGCCTGCAGCCTGTGGGAAAGAAGTGGGTTTGGGGTGGGAAGAGTGAATCTCCCCCTGGTGCTCAGAGCCTGGTGGGCTGCAGCTTCCAGCCCTGGGCCATCAGGGAGCAGCCAGGCCTTAGCTCTGAAGGAAGAGGCTTCCTGTCACTTGCTTTGCTTTCTGGAGATGGAATCTGCCAGCGAGTGGGTGACGGGACCATTTCTGGAGCAGCTTGCACACACTCCTGCTGGCACAGTCCTGCTGGCACACTCCTGCTTCACCCCTGCCAACAGAAGACCCAGGAAGGACAGGTTCCCTGGGGGTGGCAGCTGTGGGCTGTGCAGTGCTCAGGCAGGAGAAATAGATGGGGAGAGGCTTTTGCAGCAGAAGTTGTCCCAGAGCTTGTATTTATAGACCAGGGAGGTGGCAGTGAGGAATAAGCACATTAATTCATCCCAGGACCTGTTTCCTTCAGACTGGTTCCAGGCTGTTAATTTTCCACAGCTTTGCCCAGTTTAGTTTGAAATGTCTTTAAGGAGGTAATTCCACTGGGTTCTTAGAGCTCAGTGAACACTCAGCCTAAATGTCCCGTTTATTAAAGTAAATTATTTACTCCCAGCAATCCCTTCCCAGCACACACAGCAGGCTGGGGCATCTCCCAGCAGTGGGAGAGGGTCTGTCCTCTCAGCTCTTGTAGCTCCTCAATCTGTCTAGCTGTGGCTTTTGTTCAGAGAGCTGAGTGTGCTTCACTCTTCCCTCACAACTGACCCCTTGGCACCTGCTCAGCCCAGCTCCTTTTGCCCCTCCAACAGGGATTGTTGTTCAGCTCAGGGTTTCTTTGTGTTGGCTTCAGGACTCTGTAGGTTTTTCAGTGTGGTGGAGAGGAGGTGGTGGCTGCAGCTCCCCAGGGGACATACTGCCTGACATCTCTGAGGTTTCTCAGCAGTGGCCTGGCAGGAATCATAGAATTCAAGGCTCAGCTTCATGATACAATTCTTGGGTTCTCCCTGTCTTGCCCTGGGCTTTTTGGATTTCTTTGGGCTTTTCCTCTCCACTTCATTCTCAGTCCTGCGGTTCCTTGTAAACCCCCATCCCTCTCAACACCAGCATTTCCAGTTTAACCAATCCCCAGCTTTCTCTCTCCTGAAATGTCTCCCTGAGCCCCTTGTGATCTTCTCTGCCTCAGGTGGCCTGGGGGACACTCAGTTCAGCTTCCGCCTCCGTCAGTCCGGGGGGCAGAGGACAGCAGCTCCTTTTGAGGACCATGGGGAGTACAACAGAGAAGCCCCCCTCACCCTGCAGGTCTGTGGCATTGCTCACACCCTCTGGGCTGTGCTGCTGGAAGGGAGTTCACTGGGGAAAAATAAACCAGTAGAAAGAGAATTGGGTTTATCCTGGCTCACACCAGGATGGGTTGAAAAGGCAAATCTACTTTTGGTTGGTTTTCTCTGCGTGAAATATCAAGGGCAGGTTGGGTGGGGATTGGAGCAACCTGGGCTGGTGGGAGGTGTCCCTGCCCATGCAGGGGGGATGGAACTGGATGATCTTGAAGGTCCCACTGGAGAGGAATGCAGCAGGTGTGGTAGAGGACATCTCCTCTCAGAAGATAGTGTGTTCCTTCCTCAACCATCCATTGACCTCCAGCTGGAGAAGAGAACTGACAGCTAGAGCCCATCAGTGGGAGCTTGGGGTGCCAGGATGAGCTCAGGGGGTTGGCTCTGCTGGTTGTGTTGTTGGAGGGGTCCCTAGTGCCAGAGCTCCTGCTTTTTGTGTTGACTCAGCCCCTGTGTGCTGTGGTGGCTTTTGGGTGGGAATCTGATCAAGCATGGAATCATGGAATGGCTTGGGTTGGAAGGGACCTCAGAGCCCACCCAGTGCCCCCCCTGCATGGGCAGGGACACCTCCCAGCAGCCCAGGCTGCTCCAAGCCCCATCCAACCTGCCCTTCAACACTGCCAGGGATGGGGCAGCCACAGCTTCCCTGGGCAACCTGGGCCAGGCTCTCCCCACCCTCACAGCCCAGAACTTCCTCCTCATGTCCAAGATGGTGGCCCTGAAGGTGCAGCAGGAAGGGGCTGATGGAAGATGCTCCCTGGGTGCTGCATCCCTTGCGGAATTCCGAGGTTTATGTCTCCTCCCCACCTTCCCAGGTGGTCAGCACTCCCAGATAGCTGAGCACGGGTAACTTTGGTAAACAGTGCTGTAAGTGCAGCAGGAGCAAGGCAGGTGGGGAGGCCTGTGGCTGGAGGGAGGGTGTCCAGAGCAGAGCTGGCTCCTGGTGACAGCTCCTGTTGGTCTCTTGCAGCGGGAGGCAGCTCATTACTTCGGGTACGTCTACTTCAGGCAAGTCAAGGACAGCTCCATGAAGAGAGGTTATTTCCAGAAGGTGAGTGCTGAAACCAGATAGCTTGCTGCTCCCAGCTGGTCTTGAGCTGCAAAGAGGCTCCTCTCCAGAGCTGTAAAACTGCACCACCTCCTACGTGACACCCCCAGGGCTTCTGCAGGAAACGGCAAAGGTCACAGAGAAGGGGATTGTGTGGAAAGTGTCGTTCCAAACCAACCTGGAGGTGGTTGCCATGGGGTGGCCATCACATGAGCAGTGACCTGCTGGCTGAAGCATGAGGTCCTGAAGTGCTTCAGCACTTGCCTCACAACGTGCTCTGGTGTCACAGACAGTGAGAGGATGTTCTTGGATCTTCCAGGCTTTGCTAGTTACACCTTTTATACCCTTCTTACTGTGTTCATCCTTTTCCTTCTTAGTAGCCATCTGGGAGTGGATTTCCTGCTGGGCTGATTGCTGCTAACTAGCAGCTGGTACCTCACCAACTTTGTGTTTCATCATCAACTCCTTTGACACAGAAAAAATAATACAAAGTGCATTGTTTATGTCAGCACAACCATGCAAAGTGCTTTGTGTTACTCAGACACACAGTTAAGGTCACTGCCCAGAAGAGGGTGGGATTTCAGACTTCCAGAGAATATCCTATGATCCATTTTTCTCCATGGGTCACAGAATTACTCTTTCAAAGGGTATTTTCACATCCAAAGGTACAAAGCCATTGTGTCAGACAAATGAGCTCTGGGCACCTGCTTTCCAAAGAGCCATCCTGCCTTGTAGGCCCCTCTGGGAAGCTGCTGGAAGATGGGGTCACCATCCTGTCCCAGCAGCTGCTTGACCTGCTGTGCCCTCTCTCCTCCACCTCTGGGCAGTGAGATGGAGTTTCTTTCACACAGACATGCTAATCCAGAAGTGAGTTTCTTCATCTCCACTACAGCAGTGGATGGATCACTCCAAAAGTTGGAGGATCAGACAAAATGGCATCACAGGAACCTGCTGAGCAGATGTTTATACCAGACTAAGGTGCTTGCCTTTTGGGAGGCTTCCAACAGGACTGGATTCCTCACTGGACTATCTTGTCATGCCTGGATGTTGTTTGGTATTTTATTTTATTTTATTTTATTTTATTTTATTTTATTTTATTAAAAAAATTATTTTATTTATTTTGAATGGCAGAGCTTTGGCTTGGAAATGAGGTGTTCAAATGGCTCTTGCAGAATTTTTCACTGGATCCTAATTAATGTAATCATTAATGATTAGAGGAAGAAAACAATCAGCATAGGAGGAAAACCTCCCGTGGGCTGAGCTGGGGAAGTTGTATAAAACAGTGATATATTTTACAGAGAAGCATGAGAAACCAGAACAGTAACAAGAACAAAGGCATTGCTGGAAGAAAATCTGCCTTATTTACTTTGCTTTTTTCCTTTATTTTGTTTATCTCCCTAATTTCAGCCTCAACCATCTACTCCTTTGCACTTCTCACCTGGTCGGGCTCTTCTGGTACCTTTCAACCTCTCAGCAATTTCATTTTATTTTTCATAGAATCACAGAATAGTGAAGGTTGGAGGGACCTTAAAGATCATCAGGTTCCAACCCACCCATCAGGGACACCTCCCACCAGACCAGGCTGCACAAGCCTCATCCAGCCTGGCCTTGAACACCTCCAGGGATGGGGCTCCCACAACTTCCTGGACAACCTGTTCCAGTGCCTTCCTGCCCTTATGGTGAAGAATTTCTTCCTGATGTCCAACCTAAGTCTCCTCTCTTTCAGTTTAAAACCATTACCCCTTGTCCTATCACTGCCCTCTCTGGTGAAAAGCCCCTCCCCAGCTTTCCTGGAGCCCCTTCAGGTTCTCCTTCAGTTGGTCTTGTGCACAAACTCATCCCTCTGAGATGTGGTGCTCCAGGTAGAACCTGCCAACTCTGCTTCTCCATTAAACCAAACAACTCCTTGTCTGTGTGGACACCCAGGGTCTCCCAAAGCCTGAAGCCTCAAGGACTGGGCAGCCAGCAAGAATTCCACCAGTTCAAGTGCTGCTTTTGAGCTCTTTTATGTTCCTGCTGTTGGTTTTTAAGTGTAGCCCTGTAATAAGCAGTATAAATACCATTTCCAGCACTGCTTATCGAGTCAGGAGGTCTCTGACTCCTAAAAATGTACCTTGTTTTTCAGTCCCTGGTGCTGGTGTCACGCCTGCCCTATGTGAACCTGTTCCAGGCCCTGCTGCAGCTGATTGCTCCTGAGTACTTTGAGAAGCTGGAGCCATGCATGGAGGCAGGTGAGCACACAGGGCTGGGAAGGGGGGTGGGGTTTGCACAGTGCAATCCTTCCCAGGTTGTGTCAGGAGGTTCCTGAGGGACAGCTGAAATGCTCAAATTAATCAGTTCATTCTGGAACAAATCCCAGCAGGGAGAAACATTCACCCAGGTGGTTGGGTTGTCAGGATTGTAAAGCAGCTGTGAAGGATGCATTGAGGGGAGGTGTCTGACAACCCCAGCAGTGATGCTGTCAGTTTTGCATACAGTGTTCCCAGAGAGAGAGACAAACTGCCAACACTGCCTCTCTGTCTGGGTCTTGGTGGCAGGATCCAGCTCAGTCATGATTGCTCAGCAGTGCTGCTGGGCCTGCCCTGGGAGCAGGGCTGCAGAGCTGAGTCTGGTGTCTGACCTCCCAGTGCCTCCAGGAAAGCTGGGAAGAGACTTGAGACAAGGGCAGGGAGGGATGGGAGCAGGGGGAAGGGTTTCCTCAGCCTCAACCATCTACTCCTTTGCACTTCTCACCTGGTCGGGCTCTTCTGGTACCTTTCAACCTCTCAGCAATTTCATTTTATTTTTCATAGAATCACAGAATAGTGAAGGTTGGAGGGACCTTAAAGATCATCAGGTTCCAACCCACCCATCAGGGACACCTCCCACCAGACCAGGCTGCACAAGCCTCATCCAGCCTGGCCTTGAACACCTCCAGGGATGGGGCTCCCACAACCTCCTGGACAACCTGTTCCAGTGCCTTCCTGCCCTTATGGTGAAGAATTTCTTCCTGATGTCCAACCTAAGTCTCCTCTCTTTCAGTTTAAAACCATTACCCCTTGTCCTATCACTGCCCTCTCTGGTGAAAAGCCCCTCCCCAGCTTTCCTGGAGCCCCTTCAGGTTCTCCTTCAGTTGGTCTTGTGCACAAACTCATCCCTCTGAGATGTGGTGCTCCAGGTAGAACCTGCCAACTCTGCTTCTCCATTAAACCAAACAACTCCTTGTCTGTGTGGACACCCAGGGTCTCCCAAAGCCTGAAGCCTCAAGGACTGGGCAGCCAGCAAGAATTCCACCAGTTCAAGTGCTGCTTTTGAGCTCTTTTATGTTCCTGCTGTTGGTTTTTAAGTGTAGCCCTGTAATAAGCAGTATAAATACCATTTCCAGCACTGCTTATCGAGTCAGGAGGTCTCTGACTCCTAAAAATGTACCTTGTTTTTCAGTCCCTGGTGCTGGTGTCACGCCTGCCCTATGTGAACCTGTTCCAGGCCCTGCTGCAGCTGATTGCTCCTGAGTACTTTGAGAAGCTGGAGCCATGCATGGAGGCAGGTGAGCACACAGGGCTGGGAAGGGGGGTGGGGTTTGCACAGTGAAATCCATCCCAGGTTGTGTCAGGAGGTTCCTGAGGGACAGCTGAAATGCTCAAATTAATCAGTTCATTCTGGAACAAATCCCAGCAGGGAGAAACATTCACCCAGGTGGTTGGGTTGTCAGGATTGTAAAGCAGCTGTGAAGGATGCATTGAGGGGAGGTGTCTGACAACCCCAGCAGTGATGCTGTCAGTTTTGCATACAGTGTTCCCAGAGAGAGAAACAAACTGCCAACACTGCCTCTCTGTCTGGGTCTTGGTGGCAGGATCCAGCTCAGTCATGATTGCTCAGCAGTGCTGCTGGGCCTGCCCTGGGAGCAGGGCTGCAGAGCTGAGTCTGGTGTCTGACCTCCCAGTGCCTCCAGGAAAGCTGGGAAGAGACTTGAGACAAGGGCAGGGAGGGATGGGAGCAGGGGGAAGGGTTTCCAGCTGGCAGAGGGAGCTGGAGCTGAGATGGGAGGGAGAAATTCTGGGCTGTGAGGGTGGGGAGAGCCTGGCCCAGGTTGCCCAGGGAAGCTGTGGCTGCCCCATCCCTGGGGGTGTTGAAGGGCAGGTTGGATGGGGCTTGGAGCAGCCTGGGCTGCTGGGAGGTGTCCCTGCCCATGCAGGGGTGGGACTGGATGATCTTTAAGGTCCCTTCCCACCCAAATCATTCCATGCTTCTGTGAATTATTTGGCCCACATTTGCTTGCAATTAACCAGGGGGACACGTGAGGTAGGAATGAGGAGTAATTAAATGGCCACAACTTGTAGGACCAGCTGAATGAGCCATGTGGACCTTCAGGTTCAACTTCTTCCTCTCCCTGTGTCCCTGCAGTGTGCAATGAGATTGACCAGTGGCCACCTCCTGTGCCAGGACAGACTCTGAACCTGCCCGTGATGGGAGTTGTCATCCAGGTACTGGTTGCTGATGGTCTGTGCTCAGCAGCAGAGTCAGGCAACCCAGGGAGTCAAACACAGGTTCCCTTTTCTTCTGGCTGTTAAAAACCCTGTTTGCTCTAGATTCTTCCCCTTTGTTCCTCTGTACCTCTACACAGCTCAGGTTGATAACTGGATAGTTGCTAGGGAAGAAAACAAAGTATGTTTGCATGCAAACTGATCCCATTTCCCTGGATAATCTGTTCTTATTTGTCATCTAGGTGAGAATCCCATCAAGGGTGGATAAGCCAGGATCAAGCCCAGTGAAGCAGTTCAATCAAGAGGTGAGATGAGTGGCAGGACACAGGGCAGTGGTGAGCAGGGTCTGGGCTGCTAAGGAAGGAGGGTGGAGGAGAACTGCTGCTCCTTCAGGCTTTTCCTGTTTGAAGCCCTTTTGGCTTGGGATTAATAGGGTTTCAGCTCCCCCTCTGGTTCACACTCTCTCACCTCTTTCAAAACAAGGACTCTCTGCAGAGAATCTTTGTGCTTCAAGTTCTGGGTGTGAGTTGTTCTCCCAGTTTTTGTCCACCTTGCCTTTCCTGGGAATTCATGCACAGGTGGGTCTCCACGAGACCCTGTCTCAGTCTTGGTGTTGTTTTGCAGCATTTGCTGCCTGAGCATCTTCACTGCTGGGCTGTTTCCTCTTCATCTTCTCCCTGGTTCTCTTCTTTGAATGATGTTGTCATCTCTCACAGCTTTTGGTGCCCATATTATTGACCATAATTGTCTCTGTCTGGATCTAGAGGAAACTCTAGGGGAAAAAGGGAGGGAACACTTTCACCTCTGGAAAAGAGGGGATTCTTGGCAATCTTTTAGTAAAGGAAATTCATTTGGACCTGGAATGCTCAATCCAGATGTGTTCCTAGCTGGTACCTCTAAGCATTGACCTTGTTCTCTTCTTTTTAAGCACAGTGTAGAGGGAGCTGCTTTGGGGTGATGTGGTCAGTTTAGATGGCATTTCACTCAGGATGCTCCCAGTTACTAACAGCTTTGGGTTGGTTGTTTGTTTTTTCCTTTCTCATTTAGAATCTGTTACCAGCCCCACTGGTTCTCCCCACTCTTCATGAGCTGGATCTTTTCAGGTGAGAGCCACCATCCTCACAGCCCCCTCCTCTCCATCTGCCCTCCCCTCTCCCTGCTCAGGGGATCCCATAAATCACAGGGATAATGAAGAATCCCAAGTTAGTGCTTTGCAGGGAGCAGTTGAGAAGGCTGGGCCTGCAGAGCCTGTGCAGTGTGTGCACTGCCCTGAACACAGCCCCTGCCTCCTGCCTGGAGAAGGGTTTCTCTTCTTGACCTGGGTTGCTGGTAACTTCAGCTCTGAAGCAAACACAGAGTGTGTCTGAACCCAAATTTCAGCATTCTAGGTGCTGTTCTGGCAGAGGCACATCTGCTGAAACCCAGGTGCCTTTCCCTTTCCTCAGGTGAAAGGACATCCTGAGCAATGTGAGCAGCTCCACATTCCTCAAAGTGTGTCCTTCAAACACACAGGAAATGGTTGAGCAACAGCACAAAGACACGTGGCTTTCTGCTGTGGGACACTGGGAATCAGTCCTGGATTTCTAAGGCCTGGATAGCAGCAGAGCTGGGTGGTCTCACAGGTCATCACTGTGTCTGGTCTTTCCTGAAGAGCATTTCTAACCTTGTGCTTCCTTTTCTGGCAGGTGTTTCCAGCCTGTGCTAATCCACATCCAGATGCTGTGGGAGCTGATGTTACTGGGAGAGCCCCTTGTTGTCATGGCACCTTCCCCTACAGTTTCCTCAGAAATGGTGCTGGCACTCACCAGGTAATGCCTCCAGATCTGGGGCACAGGGAACTGGTCAATTCTAGCAGTTTGTCCCTTGCAGATCCACTCCTCTGCTGAGTCATAGAGTCATGGAAAGGTTTGGGTTGGAGGGACCTTAAAGCCCACCCAGTCCCACCCCCATGGGCAGGGACACCTCCCAGCAGCCCAGGTTGCTCCAAGCCCCATCCAACCTGCCCTTCAACACCCCCAGGGATGGGGCAGCCACAGCTTCCCTGGGCAACCTGGGCCAGGCTCTCCCCACCCTCACAGCCCAGAATTTCTCCCTCCCATCTCAGCTCCAGCTCCCTCTGCCAGCTGGAAACCCTTCCCCCTGCTCCCATCCCTCCCTGCCCTTGTCCCAAGCCCCTCCCCAGCTTTCCTGGAGCCCCTTCAGGCACTGGGAGCTGCTCTCAGGTCTCCCTGGAGCCTTCTCTTCTCCAGGCTCAACACCCCAACTCTCCCAGCCTGGCTCCAGAGCTGCTCCAGCCCTCCCAGCATCTCCGGGGCCTCCTCTAGAATTTCTCCAGGAGCTCCATGTGAGACAAACAGCAGAGCAAGAGTCTCTTCCTCATGTTCCCCCAGTTGTAGAGAAGAGTAAAAGTGAATCTCTCACACTGATGACCTGGCTTCTAACTGAGACCTGATGGTTCACAGCCCTGAGGAACTTTGTGTCCCAGCTTTGAACTCTGCTTTAGATTTAAAAACAATAAATAAAAAGCCTGGGACTCCTCCCAAGTGGTACCTGTAGGAGAACAAGACACTGCCTGAGGACAGAACCCTGCTGTGAACACACTTCCCTCCTGTGTGAAGGTTTATGTGGCACCTCTTGTGTGTGTTGTCCCAGCTGCCTGGCTCCCCTGAGGTTCTGCTGTGACTACAGGCCCTATTTCACCATCCACGACAGTGAGTTCAAGGAATACACCACCAGGACCCAGGCTCCGTGAGTAGCTCCTGCCCCTGCACCCCCTGGCCACTGTCTCTGGGAAGGAACCCCCAGCTTAGCTCTGTTCTGCTTTTCCCCCCCCTTCTTTCTAGACCAAACATTGTTGTGGGAGTCACCAACCCTTTCTTCATCAAAACCCTCCAGCACTGGCCACACATCCTGCGGGTGGGGGAGCTCAGAATGGCAGGTAAGGGGGAGCCCAAGTCCTGCTGTGCTGGCAGAGCCTGGCAGAGCCTGGCAGAGCTGACAGCTGCAGTGGTGGCCATCCATGTACACCTCCCTCCATGTACACCTCCCTCCTGGGAGAGCTGAGACACCCAAGGCAAGTCTGGGCTCTCCCTCAGGAGGGTATTGTGGAATCACAGACCTTGGAGGGACCTCAGAGCTCTTCCCCCCCCTGCCATGGGCAGGGACACCTCCCAGCAGCCCAGGCTGCTCCAAGCCCCATCCAACCTGCCCTTCAACGCCCCCAGGGATGGGGCAGCCACAGCTTCCCTGGGCAACCTGGGCCAGGCTCTCCCCACCCTCACAGCCCAGAATTTCTCCCTCCCATCTCAGCTCCAGCTCCCTCTGCCAGCTGGAACCCCTTCCCCCTGCTCCCATCCCTCCCTGCCCTTGTCCCAAGTCCCTCCCCAGCTTTCCTGGAGCCCCTTCAGGCACTGGAAGCTGCTCTCAGGTCTCCCTGGAGCCTTCTCTTCTCCAGGCTCAACACCCCAACTCTCCCAGCCTGGCTCCAGAGCTGCTCCAGCCCTCCCAGCATCTCCGGGGCCTCCTCTGGACTCTCTCCAACAGCTCCATGTCCCTCCTGTGTTGGGGACCCCAGAGGTGGCCCCAGCCCTGCAGGGGGGTCTCAGCAGAGGGGACAATCCCCTCCCTGTCCCTGCTGGTCCCAGTGCTGGTGCCAGCCCAGGACACAGGTGGCTTTACTGGCTCCTGTTGATCTTCTCCTCACCCAACACCCTCAAATCCTTCTCCTCAGGGCTGCTCCCCATCCATTCTCCCCCCAGCCTGGATCTCTGCTGGGAATTGCCCTCACCCTGGTGCAGAACCTTGTTCTTGGCCTTGATGAGCTTCATGAGGTTGGCACAGTCCCCAGTCGTGCAGGATGAGTGCAAACAGGGGTGAAGGTGAATTGTTGACAGGAAAACTTGTTGTGGGTTTTTTTCTGAAGTATTAGGAAGAGGAGAAGTCCTTCCTGGCCTGGAAAGAGAAAATTGCTTAGAGAAGCTCATGGAGGTGGAGAGAGAGACTGATAATTATCTGTGAAGCCAAGAGAAGCTCTAGGTTGAGCAGTGGGGGTTTGCAATGGCTCCATAACATGTTCCTGTCCCAAAGCTGCAGCAGCACAGCCAGCACATCAGTGGGCTTGTGTGAGGGTGGAGCTGAGGGCAGATGGGAGAGAAGTGCAGGACTGGGTGTTCTCAGCTGCCAGGTCCCTCACCTGTGAGCTGGGAGGGTCCATTCTGAGCCTCAGCTGCTCCTTTGCTGTCTTGTCACAGGAGACCTGCCCAAGCAAGTCAAGGTGAAGAAGCCAGCTAAACTAAAAACTCTAGACACAAAACCAGGTGAGGCCTTTTGTCTCATTTCATGTTATTTGTCCTCCACCTGGGGGATTTTGCAGTGAACATTATGTAGGTTGTTCTTTGGACCTCAACAAAGGGCAGTTCAGTGTTGTGAGCTTCTCACCTTTCCATCCACAGTTCTATTCTGGTATCCCAGAAAACATGCATAGAGTCATGGAATGGTTTGGGTTGGAGGGACCTTAAAGATCATCTAGATTAAACCCCTGCATGGGCAGGGACACCCCCCAGCAGCCCAGGCTGCTCCAAGCCCCATCCAACCTGCCCTTCAACACTGCCAGGGATGGGGCAGCCACAGCTTCCCTGGGCAACCTGGGCCAGGCTCTCCCCACCCTCACAGCCCAGAATTGCTCCCTGCTGTCTCACCTCCCCTCTTCCACTTTAAAGCCATTACATTTCTGTTCTGAGATTGAAAAAGCCAATTGAACAAATTATTTTAGTGTTGGGACAATTTCTAATTTCCTTTACTTGGTTTTACATTTTATTTTTGGATAAAATACAACTTTTAAATGTTATTTTTTTGCAGTTTTACTCTGGATATCACAGCAGCTTTGGGGATGTGGTGGAAGCCAAAGGAAGGTGCTTACTGAGATGTAGCTGCCACTTCACTAACTGCTCAGCTCAGGCCTGGCCATGGGCTGGCTCACTGAGTTATGTCACCATAGGGAGGTTCTGGAGATGGTTTAGTGTCCTTCAGTCCTTCTCTGACCTCTGACTACATTAGCAATGCAATCAGTTTTGTAATTGGTCTTTATTTTTATCATTCCCTGCCAGGGTTTGTGCTGGGAATTCCAGTTCTCTGCTCCCTGCACTACATGATGGTACATTCTCCAGAGCCTTCCCTAGATGTATGGGCAAAGTTTTGTTTCTAACTTCTGGTTTTGGTTTGTTTGTTTGTTTTTTTCCAATCTAGGCATCTATACTTCTTACAAAACCTTCCTTCACAAGGACAAAACCCTGATCAAAAGGTTGCTGAAGGTGAGTGAGCCCCTCCCGTGTCACCCACACCCTGTGTCTCTGTGGGAAATCCATCCTGACAGGTGGTTTGAACTGGCAGAACTCTCCAAAAGGAACAGCCTTTTTACAGTGTGTGATGGTTCTTATCCTTGGGCATGTTTGTCATGTCAACTTTTAAGTTTTTCAGTTGCTTATAGGTTAATGGCACTGATGAAACCTGAGAACAGCCCTAATTAAAAGAAGCGCGTGGAGGTTGTAGGTGGTGAAACGTGAGCGGTGCCTTGCACCAGGGAGGGGGATGGATGTACATGGATTTTGGGCAGTGGGGTTTTCCAGAGTGCTCTGGGCTGGTGGCTTCTAACTGAAGTGTTTGGGAGCCCTGTGGCTGGAGAGCAGGGGCTGTGACTGTGCTGCTCTTGCAGGGCATCCAGAGGAAGCGCCCGTCCGAAGTGCAGAGTGCCCTGCTGAGGAGGCACCTCCTGGAGCTCACCCAGAGCTTCATCATTCCCCTGGTGAGTGGGATTCCCCTCCTCAGTGGGTCTCACTACAGGAAGGACATTGAGGTGTTGGAGAGTGTCCAGAGAAGAGCAGCCAAGCTGGGGAAGGGGAAGTCCTGTGAGGAGAGGCTGAGGGAGCTGGGGTGGTTTGGCTGGGAGAAGAGGAGGCTGAGGGGGGGAGACCTCATGGCCCTCTCCCCTGAAAGGAGGTTGCAGGGAGGTGGGGGTTGGCCTCTTCTCCCAAGTAAATGTCAACAGGACAAGAGGAAGTGGCCTCAAGTTGCCCAGAGGAGGTTTAGAAGAAGAATTTCCATACTGAAAGAGGGATCAGGCCCTGGCCCAGGCTGCCCAGGGAGGTTGGAGTCCCCATCCCTGGGGGGCTTCAAAAAACGTGCAGATGTGGCACATGATAAAGGTGTTTTATTTCATGGAAGGGAACAAAATGTCTCTTGATCACAAATCCCAGTGATTGGCATAAAAGTGCAGCTGGATATTCAGCTCACAGGGTGTGAAGTCAGGACATTGCTCCTGCAGTGCAGAACAGTTGTTCCCTGGGGTTTGATTCTACTGCCAATTCTTTGCTCTCTGGAACAGGTGAGTCAAGGCAGATCCACAGGGAAGGGATGGGAGCCCAGAAAATTCCTCTTCCCTTTGAACTCTGCAATCAAACCCTTTTCCAGTGGGAAACCCTCCCTCTGGGCTTTGGGGAGCCTTGCTGTGGAGCTGAAGAGACCTGTCCATGTGGTGATCACCCCTCTAAGGCAGATCTGAGCTGATGCTTTCCTTCAGGGCCTCCCCTGTCCAGCTCCACTAGGAAGGTGCTGGTGCTTTTTGGGTGACTGGCCAGTTTGGCTCCTCCACTTGTTTTTCTACAACATCTCAGGAGAACAGAGCATCTTCTCACATTCCAGTCCCTCCTGCCATCTCCTTCCCACCTGACCTTCTCTCACATGGCACACTGAGGAGTCCTGCAGTGTCATTTTGTGACCCAGCCCCTGGTGGGAAACGAGCTGGAACATTTCATTTCATCTAAAATGCAATGATGAAGGAAAGAAACAGCAGAGAGGAGGAGGCTGTTGGCTGAGCCTGTGATGCACTGGAGAAGTGACCATGCTAGAGGCTCCTCAATTGTTGGAACTTCTTTAAATTGCATTTTTTAATTTCTTCCTAGGAGCATTATATTGCAAGTCTGATGCCTCTGCAGAGAGCCATTACTCCATGGAAGGTTTGTGCCAGAAGAAATTCTTCACCATGAGGGTAGGAAGGCACTGGAACAGGTTGCCCAGGGAGGTTGTGGCTGCCCCATCCCTGGAGGTGTTCAGGGCCAGGTGGGATGAGGCTTGTGCAGCCTGGGCTGGTGGGAGGGGTCCCTGGAACCTGATGATCTTGAAGGTCCCTTCCAACCTTCACCATTCTGTGATTCCATTTTCCAGTCCCTTCTGCTTTCCTTTGCCTGAGAGGACTGGCAGTGGTTGTGCCACACGCTGATCACACCCTGCTGCACTGTGTGAACTTCCCTCACTCCAGGCAGAAGTTTATTACTCCTTTAAGAAAAAAAACCAAAACCCAACTGCAAATGGCAGCAAACCTGGGGCAGGTGCTGCCTGTGCTGCTGGGGCTCCAGCTTGAATCTTACCAGCAAGGCTGGTTAAGATGCTCGTGCAGCAGTTGTTGAGGCTGCCTCATCAGCCCCTTCCCTTGTAGAGCCAGATTCCTGCTCCTGCTGCCCTGGGCCTGCTGTGACCTGGGCTTTCTGTTCTGCAGAATCCTCCCCAGATCCGGCCCTTCCGCCAGGAGGATTTCCTGAGGAGCCTGGAGCACGCGGGTCCCCAGCTCACCTGTGTGCTGAGGGGGGACTGGCTGGGCCTCTACAGGTGAGCTGGGGTCCTTCCTGCTCTTGTCCCCAGGGCAGCTGCTGCAAGTGGCAGCCAGCAGCAAATCCTGAAGTGGAACCGGGAGGGAAAAAAGGGGGTTTCAGGACAGAGACTGGTCACCTGGAGAACTTGTACCTGCCAGGAATCAATTAACTAACAGTGGTTGGGAAGAGCAAAACCAGGGCAGAGTGAGCCCTGTGAAGGAGTCAAGCTGAACATCAGGAGGAACTTTCCTGTGAGGGTGCCCAGGCTGCCCAGGGAGGTGATGGAGTCTCCATCCCTGGGGACATCCCAAACCCCCTGGATGTGTTCCTGTGGGATCTGCTGGAGGTGACCCTGCTCCAGCAGGGGGCTGGGCTGGATGATCCCCAGAGCTCCTTTCCAGCCCCACCACTCTGTCACTCTGTGGTTTAGGAGGTCTCTTCACTGAGTAGATACAGTGGGGTTTGGAATCTGCCATTTCTCCACCTTCAGGAGCTTCAGCTGAGTCCTTGATGCTGAAGAAGGAGGGAATTTGTCTCTGACATCAGGGTCAAGGTTTAAGGCTGGGCTGGCAATTAAACACCTGACAGATGCCTCTGCTAACCCTCCCC